CACTCACCCAAGCTTATCATTTCTAGATGTCCCAGACAAGCATAGAAAAGTTCCATATTTCAGATGGATGCCCTATTTGTGTCTGCCTTCTTGCCATGGGTGTTCGCGAGTCTGACGAATACTGGTGTAGGTGTGAATTTAGGTGAATTGGTGCGTGGGTGCACAAAAGAGTCTTTCCCTCACCCACTTACAGACGAACTCGCCATTGCGCTCAAATACCTTTTCGACGTTTTGTCAAGATTTTCAGACAATATATGCAGTTTGATTACAAGTCTATGGTCACAGTCTAACGACGTGTTTTAATTTGGAAGGCTTCTGCGACATTCTACCACACTTTCAATAGAAGCTATTTGATCTGTTTTTTTTGGAAATGAAATTTTTTCCTACTGGAGAATAGCGTGCAGCGGACATCACAACAGTGTGTACTATATCTGTGCACGTTTTTTTATAGAGTAAGCGAGAAGCACATAACTTTTTGTTCTTTGATATATCCAGAAGCTTCTATTTGCATATTTCTTCGATGTCCCGGACGAAGAAACCGACAGAGAGAGCAAACCTTGAAGCTATTGTAACTACTTTCGTTCTATGCCACAGAGATACAGAGCGCTACATTTGAGCGACACCTGCATATTACCGTTGGTGAAAGGATTTTTGTTGCAAAGAGACAGTTGTGCAATGTGGAGGGTGTGAGTGGGTGTGGATGTGTGGGTGCGGGATGTGGGTATGGGTAGGTATGGGTGTGGTTTTGAAAAAGAAAAGTAGCGATATTCACGCTCACACCCCCCCCCCCCCCCCCCCCCCCCACCCACACCCACACCCTAACGAACAGCTTTGTATACTTGTTCTTTCTAGTATATGATTTACAAGATGATGTAGACCTTGTCTACAAGTTTAAATTACCTTTGTTACATTACTACACGCTTAAATTTGCAGCACCAAATGTATTTCGAGTTCCTGAAAAAGATGGCACCCAAGTAGATGCAATAGGAGATACTTCATGAATAAAACTAAGCAAAACCGCACTATTTTGTTCTCTTTCGTACCATTATCAACTCAAAAAGTGTATTATTAGTCTAGTCCCAAGCGATGCGTGACATTACGACAAAAATGAAATCCTATCTAACCAAATCAGGTTGCTACTCAAAGTGATTGAAAAACAGAGGATGAGGATGCTTGACTATTGAACTTGCTTATGCAAAGGATCACTTCATGGCTTCAGCAATATTGGAAACCACAAGTGTTTATCCAAATCACCATATTTCCTACGTGACCTGCTAAACGAATAGTTTTATGCTTACAATTAAGGATTTCGAAAAGTTTTCACATGTTACGAACAGATGGGACAAATACGATTCTTTTTGCCATGGCATAAGTCAAGAAACATTTGTGGTAGTTAAAACACATAATGGATTTGAAGACTTGGTAGTTGCTTTAGTGTATAAAAATTTACATCGAACTGTCGTCATTTTATTGTTTATAAGAAGTTCAACCCTATCGAATGTTTCAGTAGTACTATTCTCTAAGCGAAAGGCATCATACTGAAACTTTTATGGCTTCTAGATTTCGTACCATTGTCTGAAACGCATCAAGTTTCACGCTTTCGAGCTATAACCTTTTCTTTAGATTCAAGGACTTCTCGCTAGAATAATAAAAAGATTGAACAAATGGTAACAAAACCTAAAACCATAAATAGTTCGATCTGGCAGGTGTAAAAGTTCGTCTCATAATTGACATTTTGATCACATATCTATGACAAGACTACGGGGAGCGTGACGAGAAAGAGAGATAAACGATCCTTCGAATGTTCAAAAATACTAAATTTTCTTGTTTTGTCAATTTTTCTGAAGACATTCATCATATACCCCTCTGCCTCCATAACAGTTCTCGTGTGACGACGGTATGGTTCCCACGGAAAAATTTCCGATTAGTAATCGAATATTTTTCATTGGGTCTGTGATAAGGCACTAACAATGTGTCCAGTTGTTGAGTAATCCTCTATGATGCTACTGTAATTTGCAAAGAAATGGTGTGCTTTTGTTGAAGATGCAATTCTTTCTTACCTTTGAAAAATATGCAAAAGGCGCAATAAAATTTTGTGCACTTCACTTGTACACGTTCTTTCACAGAATAGGCGACGAACACATTATTTGTCGCACATGGAAGCAGCCAGAAACCTCTCTGTCTATACATTTCTTCATCATCTCGAATAAGAGTCAGAGGGAGTGTTGAATTCATGGTAGCATACTGCCGTTTTACAGTAGCGATCGCAAATAAATCACGCTTTATTTGTACACCGTCAAGATGTTGACTTTGGAGAAAGTATTTCCTGTGCACAGGGATAGTTTTATAGTAAAAGAGAAATAGACTTTACATAGTTAAGATAAAATATAATGCAAAAGCATTAAAGAAAATTGATAGAATTATTTTATCTCTTTTGACTTAATCAGAAAAACTACAAAATGAGAACTCTATTTTGCTCAAAACAATAAATAGAGAGACGAAAGGCTAACAATAAATTAATATTCGATCGCTTACCATGTATCTGCAGTGCCTATATAAGAGTAATAGGTTTCGACAAAAGTACTAAAATTATAAAGACTGATTTTCAATATCTCATTTGTTCGAATAGCACACATTCTTGAAAATTGTTTTATTTATAACAATAGTTTTAAATTGTCAGATAGCATCAACAATGAGTCTGAATGTGTCATCATGGTAAAGAAAGTTCTGTTAATCTCTTCATATTCAAGTATCATTTGTTGATTTGTTACAATTATCATTAGCTTGAAATTTCTATAAACAAACATGAATAAATCTTTTTGTAAAAATATCATTTGCTCTTCACTTGTTTGTACACGATTTACTTCGTCGCTCAGGTTACATTCTTCTGCAATTAGGTATCAAATAAAGTGAAACACATATTTGATATTCACAATCACTACCTTTGGACAAAAAGAAAACATGATTGTTTCTTTCTTCGAATGGAAAATAAAAGATTGAGGAGTATTAAAGATAAGAGTCTTTCTTTGATACTCACGCGTCGAATGAAATCATACAAAGAAATATTGTCATTGATGATTAATATTTGTTCTTTGCTTTTCTTCTTGGTCGATTTAAAATGAAATTTGACTAATTCTTGACTCAAACTGTGAAAAATGATTACAAGAGTAATTTGTTAATTGAAAAATTACAGATGAAAACGTTTCCCATAGACAATATTAAACATGATTAAAAACAAAACGAATGAGTACAGAAATGCAATGAAGAGAAATTTTGATTCAAATTCTTTAAAAAGCTAACTTTTCAGGTTTCTAAAAAATAGTCTTAATGACAACACATTCAGAATCATGATATATCCTTTAATTGAGTGCCATGGATCAGTTTTGAATACTACGTTAATTTTCTTATTGATTATGATTTTTAGTTCTTCAAATTGATTTTTCTTATTACTTGTATAAAATTGTCTCTCTAAAATTGTACTTGCCAGTACGACATAAAACATGACGAAAAATATTTGATTTGAAGTGAAACCTTGGCAAAGGTTGCTATACCAGTTTGGAAATCTAATTTATATAGGTGTATTGTTTGAGAGTTAAAAATATGACCTTTTGGAGAATCGTAATAAGCGGTTCATATGAGAAAAAAAATTATGAAGAGATTTTCGACAATACTGCTCCATTGTTGAGAAAACCAAAATTTTCTACTTCCATGACAAAATAGCACAAGAATATGCTCGTCTGTAGCAATTTTGACTATCATGACTTCATTCATAAATGAAACGACATATTTGCATTCCTCTCAGTCATTTCTTTTCCATTAATTTCGTCTGTGGTTCACGAGGCATGGGATTCCACTGGAAAGCATGAATGAAATCATGATGGTCAAAATCGCTAAATAAAAGTACGTTTTTATACTATTTTGCCACTGAAATAGAAATTTTTGACTTCCTCAACAATGAAATAGTGCTTGAGAAAAGTCTTTTCTAAATCCTATTTTTTATAGGAATGTTTCGTACAATCTTTTAAAAATAATATTTTTAACTCTTGAACAAAAACAATTAGATAAATTTGCAAAATGACATTCTAACCTCATTTTTCCAGATTTCACTTCAAATCAAAGATTTTCTGTCATGTTTTATTTGAACAAACGATAAGTACAGTTTTCCATAGACAATTTGGCACGATAAAAAAAGAAAAAATCATTTTAGGAAGTAAAAAATAATAACAAATGAAAAAATTAATGTAGTTTTCAAAACCGAGTCACAATATTTTTCCATTTAGACTATTTTTCAATAACTGAAAGATTGCTTTTTTTTAAGTTACAGTTTTATACTCTTCTGTTTCATATTTGATCCTAACTGCAGTATCAGATAATTGCAATTTAAGAGTCTCGTTGATGAATCGATTTGATAAGTTCAAATTGATTCGTAACATTCCAGTGCGATAATTTTCAGAAAACCGATCTAGTATCACTTTGGCTTGGCTTGAAAATGCATCGTGTTCATCATGTGATGATCATCAGATTCAATTGTGTAGTTTTAGCGATCGATGTTTTATTGTTTATTATTCAAATATATCGAAATGTGTTAAATATTTGAAATGAACTCGATCACGTGAATATGTCATTGTTATTACTGTATCTTATCCAATGGAAACAATTTCACGTATCATTCATCGACTTCAACAATATCATATTATTTAAACAATATTCATGGTTTATTTTGATAGAGATGCACATAATCATCTATTATTATTAACCGATAATATTCATATCTTTCGAACACAAGAATCTATGTTTGAACTTGTAGAAAAGCGAATCGAAGAAGAAGTCGAAGAACAAAATTTAAGTGATGCTTTATTTACAACCTTCTATCGAAAAGAAAAATCTCTAAAACATGTTTAAGAAGATTCGGCGACATTTGTTTGAACTCATGTTTTTAAAATTTAGTGTTTCGATCCTATTTATCAAAAACTATTGTTGTCATATATTTAGTTCTATTGATGATTATGCCTTGTGATTCTCTTGAAGCTAAACGTCAAATGTTAAGTGAATGCCGAGCTTACTATCAAAATGATGCTGTTCAATTAGCTCAAATCGATAAATTTAAATACAAATATCAATCAAAAGACGCTATTCGTTGGTATACGAAACCTGAATGCTTATTTTATCTCTTTAATAAAGTATTACGTAGTCAAGATATTTGGGTTCTGTATAAATTTCGTTATTTTATTATTGATTTATGTTATCGTTTGGAAGAAGTTTCTAGTTCACAATCTCTTTCACCGATTCGTCTTTATCGTGGAGTAAAACTTAATCGAGACGAACTCGAACAATTTCATGTTGGTTGTCTTATATCAACTAATGGGTTTTTTTTCATGTTCATCTAATCGTAATGTAGTAGAAATGTTTATTGGTACTGATCTTATGACTGATGGCTCGTCAACTCACAGTCAAGATGTATGGCAACAGTTTGTATTATTTATCATTGATGTCGATCATAGAACATCTACGAATCCAGTTTTAGCAGATATCAGTCATGAAAGTGAATTGTCAGACGAAAACGAGTTGATTTTTAACTTTGAATCTACTTTCATTATTAATGAAATTCGTTTTGATAATGATAAATGTATATAGTTGATTCAGGCAAATACATTCGTCTATTGATAATATACCAATCAATAATGAATATGAGAAATAGATTCGTAAGTGTCTCGAAGACACCAATCCAACGATTCCATTCGGTTATTTGTTAGCTAGTATCAACCATGACTTTGATGAATCTATGATTTATTTCTATCGCTTACTTAGAATATTACCCATTGATCATGTCGAACGATTCAATATTTATTATAATTTAAGACGCATTTAGCGGTTTATTGAGAAATTCGAGAAATCTCTCCATTGCTTTCAATATGCTCGATTACTCGTTCATCGTCTATTACCGAAGAGAATGTACAACTATTGCTGTATTCTAGGTGGAATAGGTAGTGTCTACTCATATCTGGGAGATTCAGAACGAGCATTAAAATTGCTTAGACAAGCTTTGACATTGCACAAGAAATCATTTCCAGAAAACCATACAGAAACTTAATATCAGTTGAATCGCCTAGGTCATGCTTATTTCAAAGCCAAATAATATGATCATGCACTTTCGATTCTCAATAGTGCTGAAAAATTTTTGTAGACAAGAATATCCTTTGATCATCAAGGGTACGCACAAACTTTGCATTACATAATGATCATGCTGAATATGAACTTGCATTTGGTTATGTTCAAAAATTCTTAAATATTCAATTGATCAAATTGAAAGTCAAAATCGAGACAGAGATCATTGCCATAACGGTTTCGTCAATGTGTTCAAATAATCTATAGATTGTTACTGACTTATTTAGGTCTTTAGAGATAACTCAATTGAAACAGAAAGTGAGTGACGAGCATTGAAGTTGATTATAAATAAGTGAATGTGAATGATGATTGTTAACATGAATACTTCAGTGAGTCTGAAAGTACCCTTCACAAACGAACATGTAAGATATGTTAGATCAAGATTCGAATTTTTCCTCGAAGACTTTGCTCCTAAGTTAACTTAAGTAGAACTTGACGCGATTCTACAACATAAGCTATTTAATTTTTCAATTTCATCAAGTCAGTGAGGAGAAAATAATGTATCCGAGTAAATTAGATCTAAGATCTTGTGCTTGAATGAATATTTTTGGATAAAATACATCTCTACTCAATATAGAGTTTAACTTATCTTCTCTGAATTATAGTGCTTTCATATGG